GATTTGAAGTTACAGTAAGATCAGAGTGAGTCTGTTGAGGTGTGGATGCAGTGTGGATTGTCCATGGAGATCATCATGATGATGGTTCAGAGGTGCAGTGACAGGCCCATTGACCAATACACCAGCACTACTGGCTGTTCAGCAGCCTGATGACCCAGGGGGGAAGAAACTGTCTCTGAACCGGCTAATAACAAAGGGCCACATTCACCATCCATTCTTAAGAAGACGTTTCTTCTTAAAGCCCACTTACACAGTTTTATGAAGATTCTATTGTGCACCAGTGTTTTCTTATTTGGGATTTGTTCTTAGGTAAGATCAGAATCTACACATACTCAAGAGCACAAAGGTGTGAACAGTTCTGCGCTTCAAGAACACGACATGAATCTGATGTAGACTTTTTCTTAGGACCTTTCTCAAGAACACATTTAAGAAAAAAACTTTGGAAGATACTAGTGAATAAGGCCCATATTTATATATAATATGCTCTCCTAAAAAGATGTAAAAGACGTCTTAGTAAAGATAGTGGTTCTATATAGAACCATGAACTCTCAAAGAACCATTTGTATGCTTATAGGGTTTTTACTTGACATTGTAACAATAGAAATAGTTTTGGTTCCATACACAACACATTGTCCATCAATCTGAAGAACCATTTCACCATGCAAAGAACACTTTATGCATGCAAATGGTTCTTTGATTGTTCACAGTTCTATATAGAACTTTTTAACAGTATATGTAAATGTATGTATATATAACAGTGTATATAAAAATGTTGTTATTATTGTTATATATTATCACTAGGGTATTGTTGTATTATATTGTTATAACATTATTAATGTTAAATACAGGGAGATTCACTCGAAAGAGGCCCCGAATATTCTGTTGTAACTCCCGTTAGGATGAAGCAAGCTGAACCAAAAAAATATGCTACATATCTTGACGTATGTGTAATCGATTGCATTACATGCGATGCTGAAAGTGATCTTGCGACGGCTGTCCGGCGCCTACCTCGTCACTCCAAAGAGGGGGCATCCCAGCTTGTTTGAAGCTCCACATACTGAGGAGCACATTGTGCATTGTTTCGTTCAGATTGCTTCGTCCTAGCAAGAATTATTACAGAATATTCTGGGCCTCTTTCGAGTGAATCTCCCTGTAGTGTATATTATTAATACATCACAATCAAAATACACGTGTCTGTCAAAGTGCTGCATAATAAACTCAAGTAGGATCAGAAATAAAAGACAAATGAAAGTGAAATAAATTCGTTATAGCTTAGAAGACAGGACAAAATAGAAGGCTCCACAAGACATTGTTATATGCCTTTATTAAAAAGGATAAGTTGTTCCATAATTTTGTGCTACAAAAGAAAAGCTCTGGTCACCTTTAAATGTCCCATATCTTGACTTTGTCTTGCATTATATTTTTTCTCCTACTTATAACATTAGTGTGGGTTTATGCACCAAAAATAGTCATCATTCATTTTTACCTGACCATTTTACAAACCTCACTTTATTCCTTAGAGGCTGATTTTGTTACTGCCTGCATTCCTCCAACCCTGACACTCTAGTGGACTCCAATTACCAGAACCCTCTGGGAGAACCCAACAATAACATCACAGTAGTCCACCTATTAGAGATCTGCCTCGCCTGACTACTGATTTCTTTCAGAGAGCTTGTAGAGAGGAGAATTACCACTCTGTAATGTCTTCCGGGTTTCTCAAACACTAGGAGGCACTCCAGAGCAAGTCCAAAATGAATGGGTTAAAATGGCGCATTTGAGTAAAATCATAGTTTATAAACGCTTAAACTTTTTAAATGTAAAAGAATACATTCATTTCCTGAACACAGAACAGTATGAAACATTTTAACAACAATGTTATATTTTTAAGGGCTTTTAAACTCGAGTTATAGGAGTTTAAAAGGGCACCTCATGTACACACACTGCTCCGCTTGCCAATCAATCAGCACTCACTAGCGGTAGCGACTTTTCTTTGTATTTTTTAATGAAACACATCCTTCTACTTTCTCAAATTAAAGGAAAGTTCTGGGCATGAGTTTTCTTTATTAGTCATTGAGCTCCATTAACTCCCTTTAATTGGGGACTCGCTCTTGGGCGCCCTCTGGCATTTTGCAGTCCTGCCTTTGATATAACAGGGGAAATAGGAAGTGGCCAGGCTCCTCATAAACCGGCTCTGCTCTGACGGCGTCCTGAAATGACCCGCAATGCACACATCATAATCAGCAACGTCACGTGAATGAATCGCATGCGTCATGAACAGCAAACAAACTAACGAGCAGCGAACATATGAACTCTGAACTGCTCTCAGCTGTTCATTATTAGAGCGAGATGGAGGCGAAAAGGCTGAGATGTGTTGCTTTTCCATTGTTACAAGCTTTAATTTCTGTTCAGCACTGCTGCCGTGGTAACGTTGAATGATGGCACATGCACAGTGGAACAAAAAGTACTCTAGTCATTCTGATTCTTATTAAGGTTGCAGGGCCACAAATCGGATACGAATCCAATCTAAGACCATATATGAAAGTCTGCGTTCACATTACCAAGTTGAAGTTACCATGTTTTCAGGGCTGTGTGGATACAAATCTGATCTTTTTAAATCCAACCTGAGCCACTTTGATATGTGGTCCTAGATTGTGGCCATGCAACCTAACCTGAACGCTCAGATCGGAATTCATGTGCTTTTTTTCTACTGCCCGTCTGCCATCATTCAGCGTTACCATGGCAGCAGCGCCGAACAGAAGTTAAAGCCTGTAAACTGTAGAAGTCAACACATCTCACCTTTTTCTCCTTCGTCTCACTCTAATAATGAAGCTGAGAGCTGATCAGAGTTAATTATCTTCACAGCGAAGCTCGTTCTGCTCGTTAGTTTGTTTGCTGATGATGCATGTGATTCATTTAAGTGACGTTACTGAGTGGGATGTGCGCATGTGGGTCATTTTAGGACTTCGGTTCATCACATTAATGACAGATTTGAATCACTTACCTAAACGAGTGTGAACCATCATGTCAGAGAGATTGGATTTGAGCAAAAGATCAGATTTGAGCAACGAGGCTTGTAATGTGAATGTAGCCATTAAGTCGCCACGAATTAGATACTTATCCGATCTAGGACCATATATGAAAGTGGCTCAGGTCAGATTTGAAAGGATCAGATTTGTGTGTCCACACAGCCCTGAAAACATCAGATCTGAGTCACATTAGGGCAAAACATTGGATTTGTGCCACTTCAACCTGGTAATGTGAACGTAGCCTTAGTTTCCACATATTCAATGTACAGACCCTGATAGCATAAGGATAGTGGGCCACTGTTGGCCCGCTGAGGGCAAGGCTGGTGGTCCACTGGCGTTTTGCTCAGCATTTTTTTGGGCAGCTCGTCATTGGTTAAGCAGAATATTAGACAAAATTTCACTTATCATCGCTCATTTTCCACTCACAGTCCAATTTACTTATTTTTCCTTCCTTCCTTTCTTTAGTTATACTATGTAAATTAGTTTAGTAAGTCATTTTAATCTACCACAGTGTCAGCAACAGTATTTTCTGTGAAAGCAATAAGCCACGTGGCAGCAAGCAAGTAGTGAGCTACTATTATTAACTAATAACCTTCATTCATTACTCTCTCTAATAAAGCCATTTCATTTAAACTTATGTAATGGTATTTACACTGAGAATCCAGAAAGAAAGGAAAACCCATAAAGCAATTCCACTACACAGCAATGTCTATTGTAGAAATCTGTTCTTTAAACCAGCACTTTGACAATGCTCCTCGTGTGTTCACCATGGTACTGGCTATGTTAGCGTCAAGCTTGCAGGCTCAGCTCAGCGCTATATGAGACTTTTCTGTCAGCTCCAATTTAAATATGAACATTTTAGCACGTTGCAGTCATGTGAACATCATTCTTTACTTTGTATGTCTCACTTTTTAAGTAATGCTTCATTTAAAAACTTGAGCTTGAAATCTTTCATTATTGTAGCGTTAGCCTGATAGGCGGCTACAGCTTTCTGCTACCTGTCCAGCCAGCTAGTGAGGGCAGAACATAGCCTGTTATAAAGAGAATATAGTGTGTAAACCAGCTAAAGCGAGTCTGTTTGGAGCAAACAGTGATGTTCAACTGGCAGCTCGTCATCTGGTTGGATTTTATGTGCTCAGATTTAAGCTCTAGCAATTGGGCTTCTTCCATCAGTCATCAGTCTGCTGCAGCTCTGTGCTGTTTATGCCTGTAGCATTGCTGTTTATGCCATAGATTCATTTTCACTCAGTTGACAGCCAAAAACTGCATGTTGTCCCAGAAATACCTCAGACACATTTACTAGGATAGAACAATAACCTATAATGTAAGCACACTTTCTTTGACTTCGCTAAAAACGGTAACGAACAACACTTCTGTTCCCCAACGAGATATTTCAGCCATAATCTCGAAACACAAGGGTCACATGGAAAATGTGGGATCTATTTAGATTTTCTTCTATGATTCAGAAAGAAAATCTGCAGAATTCTGCAGTGCTGTGTATTTTGCTTCTAAAGTGTTAGTTATCCATTAAGTGTTATACTATATATACTTTGAACAAAAAAACAACCCAGAGCTTTTTGGATTTAACACACTTTTGATTATGTAGTTAATATGAGCGAGTGTAGGTCATTGGCCAGTCCTGTTTCAGACTTTTAACCCATGTTTCTCTCTAATAGCAGTGTACCAAAGGTCATTCTGTGCTCTGATTTCAGCCTCCTGATGGTTTTGCAACCGCTGATCTGAAAATCACCATGATATAAACTGCTCTTTAGATATTGTGCTACATATTGTACCAGCTCTGGATCACGCGTGTACTAATCACACATGATAGTGCCATTGGTTGAGAAGAACACTTGTCTTGTACATTCCAAATAAAGCTTATTTTTTCATCTTTTTACACTTAGGAAAACTTTTAAGTTAACTTTCTCCCAGCAAACCCAGTTTTCTTATTAAAAAAAAAAAAACCACAAGCAGTTTCTAGAAATACATTTACTGCTGGACATGCAAAGACAATACAGACAGCGGTGGTACATATCAAAGCATGCAGTCAATGTAATTCCACAGTCACTCATTCCCTACTGGCTGCCTTGCCTACCTATTTGTCTACATTATGCAGTGTAATGATTACACACAGCTATTGTAAAGATATTCCTGTACCTGGCTCACTAGGTTGACAGTGTACATGAAGTCATTCAGTAGCTCATCTGGAATTGAACTCATTTGTACTCACAGTATATGTGTATTATTAGTTTGTGTCAATGCAATAATAATGTTCAAAGCACTATAGGTCACCAGGGCTTCTGTATGACTGACACTTGCAGTTGAAACTCAGAACTGCCTGTAGCTGAACATATAAACAGATGCATTAAAAGACTCCTTCAGTGCTTCTTGCAAAGAAAAGAATTATTACTATATGATAATTTCTGTAGCCGTATTTAATCCTGCTTTGACATAAGGCACAACTAGGCATCTACATACTTTACTGATTTGTGACTGTGCTCCACGGTTCCTACTTGAACAAATGGCTCAATACTTCCTTCGCAGTTTTTATAATGACTTCATCAAGGGGAGGCTTTCTCTGGCTGCCAGGCTGTAGAAATTTGTTGATTGCTGGAATGGCTTTCATTCTCTTTTGGAATGCCTGAGACAGAAACAGGAGAAAGACATGCAAAGGTGAAGTATTTCAGTGGTTTCATGAAATACTTTGGCTGGGCCTTCGTTCAACAGACAATGGTCAAAGACTGACTTCTAAACCCTCTAAAGAAGAGATGTCCAGTCGTGTCTGCAGACTTTTGTTCCAATCCTGCAGGAGCACTGCTGATTCTATTGGTCACAGCCTCCAAACAATTGGACAGGTGTGCTCCTGCTCCTTTGTGGATAAGACTGGACACTGCTGCTCAAAAGGGCCAACTGGGGTGCCATCACTTAAATTTATAAGGCATTTTGCTGTATATTTTAGTTAGAACACATACATTTTCAGCAACCCAGAAGGAAATTAGAGCCTCTTTCATAACAACTGCTTTGTGAGAGTTTAGTCTCAGACTTCACTGTAAACTACTCTACAGTAAAGGTGTGTTCTACATGTGTTTCCACATGCAGCTCACCTGGATGTTGGGGAAGGATGACAGTATTGTGGGGAACTCCTCTTCCAACATCAGAGAGGCTTCAAAGAAGTTGACATCAGCACAGCTCAGCTGGTTACCCACGAGGAACTGAGAAGCACCGAGAGCCTGAAAGACATACAGCACACACAGTTCTTAAGTAGGAGATGCAAGACTTGGAGGGGAAAAACCCAGTTGCACCAACAAAGATTACAAAGATAACAAAGTTTAGAGCGATTTAAAGATTTGTTAATCTAGGTTTTATTTTAAATCAAGTTGCTTTGCACCACGTAATTTTAAACATGAATGAACAAATCTGTTATTTAAAGCCTTAATCTGTGATTAAAACCTTGATCGGCCTTTAGTTTTGATGTGCTCCATGATGTATTTGGCAATATAAATAAATAACAACAGCGTTACTCTCCAAACTAATCACTGTAAGTTACTTTTTCTATTTTCAGTGAAAACCAGCACAGGGCCACATCAGAAACAGTTCTTACAGGCAAAGAGCGAATTCAGACATTTAGACAGTTTGTTATTAGACTCTGAGGCTCAGCGGCAGGGGGAGCTGTTTAGCCAGGACTGAGAAGACTGCTTAAATTATTGTTCTCCTCCTCAGCATGATGAATTTCTTTGCAGCTTGTGATGTCACTCCACATGCTACTGGGGGCAGCAACAGCAGCGGTGGCACTTTCTTGGCCACTCTCCACTTCCTCCACCTGAGCAGCAGAAGCAACGCCGATCCCTCTGCCACACGCCCCTTTTTCTGCCACCCACCGCGGTGTAGATGTCAGCGAGGCTGTTGCCTGTTTATTCTGGAGCTCTGACGCTTGGCTTTGACCCACCGTGCTGCCTCTGGCCTCCAGCTGTGCGGCCTCTGGCCTCCAGCTGTGCCACCTCTGGCCTTGCTGCACCGGCCTCGCCATCAAGCCTCCTTCCACTGGCCTCTTCACCGCACTGCACCTCTTTCGCAATCCTCGGCCAGGCTCAGTCTTGTCAAGTCAAGACAAGTCAATTCAAAGTTTATTTATATAGTGCTTTTTGTAAGAGGCGTTGTCACAAAGCTGCTGTACAGAAAAATCCTGTTCCGAGTTCCCATGAGTGTCGCCAATGGCGACAGTGGCAAGGAAAACTCCCTAAGAGCAAGAGAATGAAACCTTGAGGAACCAAGACTCAAAAGGGGAACCCATCCTCTTCAGGTCGACACTGGATAGCAAACAGCATTAGTATAAAATATTACAATACAGAAGTGGGGAAAAACAGGTGAAGCAATGTTATAATTAAATAGACTGAGTCTGCGCAGCAGCAGCATCATCAGGAGGATCAGTTCATGCAGGTTGTCACCATTCCCCACCAGTCTGCTAGGGCCCACTTCTGATACCATTGTGGCATCAGCATAGAAGGAGAAAAAGACACAGAACACAAAGCAATTCAAAACAGTTCTCTTTTTTTATCACATCGGTGGGGGAGACCGGCCGCTCAGCCCTGACCGAACAGCCGAGAAGCAGGGTAGATCACCAATAATGTCCACAACGGCAACTATATACACATTAAAGTCTCTCTTTCCATGTTCGCGGCTGTGGTGCTCTGTGCTCGCCACTCTGCATGGCCATGCCTCCCGCGCATCCACAGCTGAACGTGCCGGTAGCAGGCCGCTACATATATACAAAACAAATGCTTTCTGTCTTATACTATAAGTTGCAATTTTATAGTTTGGTAATTTAGTTCGGTATTTACTTAAATCTTAGGCCTAACACAGAGTATTCTTCGAGTAGTCTTTTAGCTTGTTAGCTAGCTTACTCTACCAAGCTGTTCATCCTAGATCAACTAGTTTAACAAAACTGCGCTCTTACCTGGAGTATATTCAGTCTTCAGCTGTTTGCTTAATCTACACTCAATTTGTAACTGTAAAACCACTGCATTAGTGAGATCCCACTGCTTTGGTTATTTCCTTCTATTTCAGTGATGTACACAAAAGATACTTGAGTGCTAATAGTGCCCCCTTGTGGGAAGAATCATTTCCATAAGTGGGAGAGTTACAACAAAGTCCTTATTTTTTTTTTTATGTTTTATATTGCCTGGGGTTAGTTTTACTAAGAGAAAGATTTTCTGTTCTGCAGAGAACACGCATTTTTAAACGCATTTAAACCACTGAAATTTAAACCAGCAAAATTAGAAGGTTAAATTTAATCTCTGAAAGAGGTTTAAATCTGAGTTTATCGTAACAGTATTGAACAGAATTAAATTAAATCTAGCTTTACTGTAAAAGTAACCCAGGATTAAAAGGATGGTTTAAATGTAATCCTGATTATTTTTTAATTTGGTTTAAAGTTTGATGCAACATGATTAATAGATAAACCCTGATTTAATCCAAGTTTAAGCTTAATTCTTGTTGGTGCAACCCACCCTAACTCCATAAGTATCCCTACAATGAACCTCTTCATATCAAACCATTCTGAGTGACTTTGTTTTCTTCACAACCACTAAATTATGCAGAATTATTATTTTTTTTTACAAATTGGTGGATTTCCCCTTTTATTCTCATTTAGACCTGCTGTAGAAAAGCGTTCATAGTGAGGAGCTGCACACCTTTTCAAAAGCCGGAAGAGTGCGGACTTTGGCTTTGACCTGCACTTTTTCCAGTTCACTCTTTTTATTCTCTGGTTGTGTAAAGAGCAGCATCATGATCATGTCCATGATGTCTCGAGCAGCCTCGGCATACATATCAATCCTTGAAAGAAAGGAAAAAAGGACATTACATTGGTCTGCATGGATTCAAGCAGGCCTGCTGATAATTCCCTTATAATTTCATACTCACATAACTCTCTCTTTAAGGTCCTTTCCATAGAGGTTATATTTCCCTGCTATGTAATTCATGATGGCCTTTGACTGTACCAGCTTCATTCCATCCATTTCAACCAGTGGAACCTGATGAAACAGTAGAGCTCCATCTGGAGTTCAGATAAGAAATACTTTTAGGATCACAGAGCCCATAGGTGGGACTGTTATGTGAGCCTCTATGGAGTTTAACCCAAGAAAGTTTTACTGTAATACATATTTCAGACTTCCAAAGCAGAACCTACCATTCACCAGTTTTTCATATTGGGCCCTTGTGGTCAGAAACACCTCTTCGAACTGTGAATGCAATAAGAAAACGCATGAATATCTACAGTCTCTGTCTGTAGCTCCCTTTTAAAAAGTGCTCAGCCTGTTACAAACCTCAACACCAGCAACAGCCAACAGCCACCTTATGGACTCCATTTTCCCTCGTCCGTCGAAGTAATACAGCACGACCTTTCCTGACATGTTGATTCAGAAATAAATGTTTTACTGATAGAAATAATGTGTGATCACTACACCTGCACGACCACCCTGCTGAGAACAGATTCAGAACTTTGATCAGACGTGCAGAAAGTTTATACAAACACCAACCCTGTGTTTTACCCAGTGAAAAACTTTGCTTCATGAATATTAATACAATTGCAGCCAATGGCTGAGAGGTGAACCGCACATGTGATTTTGTGCCTAGATTTGCATGACCACTAATGTGAAGAAAGGTTGTATGAAATGTGTGAGTGTAGTAGATAAACGCTGCTTCACGATGACTCATATTTATGGACGGCATCCTGAAACGATAACACTGAAAAAAAAATCAATAGTAACATTGATCTAAATGACACTGCAGACTTCGCCGTTGATCTGGCAGTTCAAGTTCTAATCAGAAGTCCTGTAGCTGAGTGACGAAACACTTGCTGTGCAAACCGTGCAAGTGATTTTGTGTGCAGGTGTGCAGAACCACAAATGTAAACCAAGGCTGCATAAAATTAAAGGGGCTTATGTGATAAAATGTTGCATCATGCTGGCTCATATTTTATTGAGGTCAGGCTGGGACGATAGACTTTGAAAAATCAACAGTAGTGTTGACCGAAATGACACTGCACCTTTCATTATGATCTAGCAGTTCTGGCTTTAAATTGCTGACCAGAGGTCTACGGAGTTAAAAGTTTCAAAGAAAAAATAAAATCCACAAGCAAAATGTTAAGAATCAGAGTCTTCAAAGTAAGTTGCAAATAAAAATACTGAGTATTAAATCAAACATAATTTTTTTTAAAAAGATTACTCATTTTTACTTATTTCGATGTAAATGTGTCACTCATTTTGCCAGTGTTTGCTTTCATTTTATTCTATTTGCCGATTTTTTTTTTTGCTCTTGAAATCCATCTTTTGCATCTGACTTCTGTCACATATGGGGGGAGGTGGGGTGTGTGGTGGGGTGGTGGGGGGGTGTTTCTTGGAAAGTGATATTTCTCTGCACTCTCGATTGGCAAGTGCAAGGTCTTCTGATCACGTAGCCGCTTGGCCTGAATTTCCCCAGCATGTCGGAACACGTCATGCTGAGTGCTGCATTGGGTACAGCGCTGTACTGACATATCCTACTTTATGAGCAATGTGTGTTATAATCCTTCAAAACTAATAATGTTACACATGTTTAGGTTCCTGAGTCGAATCATATGACCTATTTTGGGCACTGAAGAACATTAATCTAGTTGTTGAGAGAAGCTGTACCACCTTTAGGGTTTGCGGCTGCCAGCACTAACTAGGTTAGAGGTGTCCTTCAGCACTAACTAGGCTAGCCACAGTGGTAATGGAACAACACCACTTGAATATCCAAAGTTAGTTGACTGTATTAGTATTGTAACGTCGGCAGAGAGTAAGACACAGGGGTGACTATGATCTGCTGCCCAGAGTCTCTCAGCGCCAGCACCAGACAGTAGCCGTAAGCTACAGTATGAAGGCAGTGATTTGGAGCAGCGCATTCTGTAAACAGCCAAGCTGAGATAGAAAGCCTGTTTCAGTGACCGACATGGAGGCATTCTGTAGGTAGAAACATGAAAAAGACTGACATACCAGCCTTCATAACCCCCAGCAAGTAACACCAAACCATGACATGTCAACTTTATTGTAACATTACCGTCTCATGAGAGCAGTAACTTGTAGCTGTCAGCAGTCAGAGGTGTTTTCCACTCTTTACTCTGTTTATGGCAGTGCTACATAACAGCATAATGGTATAAACCCTCGACCCACGGCATCGCACATTCAGTGATTTTCTGACCAACACACCTGATCAGCTCATGAACGGGTTAGTAATCTGTTGATGAGCTGTATTAGGTGTTCTAAGGTAAGGAATAGTTGACCATGTTGAGCTGGAGGTCAGCAAAAACTATTTTTTTTTAGAAGAAATGTTGGATGAGTAGGAGTTTGCTTTTCTCCGGTTTTCTTTTTACTGTGAGGATTAGCATTGAGTTAGCTACTTGGCGTGCTAGCATGGGTGCTACTGGTGAAAGTAAATGTTAGCTCGGCTTCGGAGTGAACCGATTAGCAGTTAGCTTTACACACCAACCCTTCCTCAGCTGTGTGGTGGAGTCTGGCAAAGAGAGAATGGTCGCCCTTTTGGACATGGACTGCTTTAACATGCACGTGGAGCAAAGAATGAACCCTGAGCTGGATTTCCCATATTAAAGCAGAATGGCAGAATGTAGAGGTTTAAGGTGTTCACTGAAAAACAACATTTATAACTGTTGTCTGTTTGTTTCTAGGACAGTATGGCAGTTGACTGGCTGGGCTTTGGCTTTGCAGCTGCTGTTGTGTTTGGAGGTTTTGTGGGGTATAAAAGAAAAGGTAGCGAGTTAGCCTCTTGTTTTAGTCCTGTAATGTTGCCCTGCATTCTTCATGCTGTCTACATGTGACCTGTTAAGCTCCAGTGGCATTTCACTGCTTTATTTTTAATCCACTCAACAAAATTTTCAAATGCCATTATTCCTGCACAGTTGGTGTCATTAATAGCACAACTGTTTTTTGGAGCCATATCTGCATATGGGGCCTTTAGGGTATCTACTGACCCTCAAGATATATGGACTGTGACTTGGTGAGTATATAGATTGGTCCCTGTTCGTCATTTATTACAAATAAATGAAACTACATTTGTTCTGAAACGTTTCTGGCACATTAATTTGAATTCACGCTGCTTGTTTTTCTATGTTTTTATTTGCTCTAGTTGCTTCTGGTGCTCTGGCACTTCTGATGGGGGTGAGATTCAAGAATTCTGGGAAATTAATACCAGCAGGTATTATAACTGGATTAAGGTGAGGATTTGAGATTTAACATTCTACTGCTGTGTCCTTTTCACCATTACAGAAATTCTGCATTATGATTAATAAAAACATGGAGAAATGCTGAGAGATGTTTTAGGAATAAGAACACTGTGGAGTTTTATTGTGAGGGTGAAGACTTAAGTGCTTTGAGAGTACATGAATAGTATATCATGAATAGGCACAAGAGCACAGTCATATACAAAAGTTTGACACCCCCAGCCAAATGATGTATCGTGTTGATTTTCTAAGTGAAACTAAGTAAACACATCCTCTACAGAGACACATTCAAATATCACACTTTTCTGCACTTTTTTGAGCTGGGTTGAACATATTAGAACAAACATTAAATATGTAAAATGTGTCATAACATTTGCATAGGCCACATTTTGTTTTACAGTAATTGTGCAGTAAAATGTGCCGAAGTGTGTTCTCTGTAGAGCATGTGTTATTTTCACTTAGACAATCAACGTGTAATTTGTACGATGTACATTTTTTACAAGACTTATCAGTTTGTAGGAGAAAATGGCTCCTTTTTTAATAATAGAATTTATTATACAGAGCTGTTAATAAAGACATGGCAGGTTTACAAGCTGTTAATTATAAAGACTAAAATTTAGAAATTTCAGCATTTTGTAAACATGCACTACTGACTCATTTAAAGTCAGACATTTTCACATAAATTGATCAAAATACCCCTAATAATCCTTTTTTGCAGGAAAAAAAAAATCAACCCAGAGCTTTGTGGATTTAAAACACTTTGGTTATTTAAGTAATATGAGTGAGTGTAGGTCATTGGTCAGTCCTGTTTCAGAATTTTAACCCATGTTTCTCTCTAATGGCTGTGTACCAAAGGTCATTCTGTGCTCTGATTTCAGCCTCCTGATGGTTGTTTAACCGCTGATCTGACAATTGCCATGATATAAACTGCTCTTAAGATATTGTGCTACATACTGTATCAACTCATACTGGATCATGTATGTACTAATCACATGTGATAGTGTCATTGTTTGAGAAGAAGAGCACTCACCTTGTACAATCCAAATAAAGCTTGTTTTTCATCTTTTCACACTTATGAAAACGAAAAGTTAACTTTCTCAGAGCAAACCCAATAAGAGCACTTGCTCTCATTCAAGTAATTGAAAAAAAACACAATCAAACAGTTTCCAGAAATAGGTTTATTGCTGGAGATGCAAAGACAGTACAGACAATAGTGGCACATGTCAATGTAATAAACACTGTGATTGCACAGTCAATCTTTCCCTACTGGCTGCCTTGCCTACCTATTTGTCTACAAATATACTCACAGTATATGTATTGTATTCACAGTTTGTGTCAATGTAATAACAAAGCCCAAAGCACTATAGGTCACCAGGGCTTCTGTATGACTGACACTTGCAGATAAAACTCAGAAATGCCTGTAGCACCAAACTTTTACATAATCATTTCTGTAGCTATAAACAATCCCCCCTTCTACATAAGGCACAATTAGACATCTAAGTGTTTTACTGATTTGTGAATGTTCTCAACAGATTCCTACTTGAACAAATGGCTCAATACATCCATTACAGTTTTTACATAGACTCCATCAGACCGAGGCTTTCTCTGGCTGCCAGGCTGCAGAAATTTGCTGATTGCTGGAATGGCTTTCATTCTCTTTTGGAATGCCTGAAACAGGAAACAGGAGAAAGTAGGTGAAGTGTTTCAGTGGTTTGGCCGGGCCTTTGTTCGAAAGACAAAGGTCAAAGACTGATTTCTGAAACCTCTAAAGCAAAGGTGTCCACTCATATCTGCAAACAGCTGCAGATTTTCATTCCAATCCTGCAGGAGCACTCTACTGGTCACAGCCTCCAAACAATTGGTCAGGTGTGCTCCTGCTCCTTTGTGGATAAGCCTGGACACTGCTGCTCAAAAGGGCCAACTGGGGTGCCATTACTAAAGCAATTAGCCAAGAGAGGCTGTGGGTTACTGTGATTTTATCACAGGGAAGGGTGTTTTTGGGAACGACGTAAAGTGGATAAAAGCGGATAAAATCACGGTAACCCACTGCCTCAAGTGGCTTAATGCTTTAGTAAAACGGCAGCCAACATAAAGCATATTAAAATGCACAATGTTCTAGATAATTATTTAAGTTATTATTAATAATAACCAACATAAACAAGTATTTCGCCAAGAAATGTAGTTCCTTTAGAGTACGGTATTGTTGCTAAGCAAACATTGACCACTGAAGGTGGAGAAGAACGTTCAGTCGGCAATCACTGTAAACTGCAGACGTTTCATGATTTTTAAATCTTTTTTCGTTTAACAATGAACATATGATAACACAGCACTGTTTAATGCAAATACCTTCAGTTTATAAGTACTTTTTCTGCCAGCCTGACAACGCCACTTTTCTCACACTGGGGCTGAATCTCAAATGGCTCCCTGCTCCCTACATAGTGCACTACGTAGGAATTTAAATACTGACTCCTGCAGCCCAACAATGCGAAATATCACTAAAAAATTAGTCATTTGGGATTCATCCACATCCACACTCACCAAGCAGTGCACTATTAAACAGCAGCAGCTAGGATCTCCATTTAGGATTCAGCCTGCATTTAATTCAAGCCTGTGATATTAATGTTGGAGTTGTTCAGCATGTTTGCTATCTTTTAGCCTGTTGGCTAACTGACCAGCCAAGTTCTAGATAAGAAAATAAGTTTTTATACCTCCAGTTTAAACAAAAATGGCTTCTTACTTCATCGGTACACTTGGTGTGATCAGCATTAGAGTTAAAGATTATTCCATTAACAGCAGAAGGGTTTTTTGTGCCGTGGTGCAGTGATACAGAGTTCAGTTGCTGTGAGGCGCCATAGCCGTGGTATATCATGGATTTTACAATGGCTTTGAACGCGGCTCAGCCAATCAGATTTCAGGACCGGAACTATCTGTTTTATAATTAAAGTTATAAGGCATTTCGCTGTATGTTCTAATGAGCAATGCTGAGGGACGTTTGAGCCTCTTTCATAACAACTGCCTTTGTGAGAGTTTAGTCTCAGATTTCACTGTAAACTGCTCTACAGTAAAGGTGTGTTCTACATGTTTCCACATGCAGCTCACCTGGATGTTGGGGAAGGACGACAGTATTGTGGGGAATACCTCTTCCAGCATCAGAGAGGCTTCAAAGAAGTTGACATCAGCACAGCTCAGCTGGTTACCCACGAGGAACTGAGAAGCACCGAGAGCCTGAAAGACATACAGCACTTAAGTAGGACATAAATACAAGACTTGGAGGGGAATTGCACTGATTTCCCAAAATTATCTGTATAATTAAGGGGTTAAGATGTAAACAAAGCCTTTCAGAGTGGTCTGATGTGAAACGCTCCGTTCTAGAGAAACTTATTGACTCAGTTGTTCACAGGTGATAGGAACCAGACGGCCGCCTCTAAGAACTTCCTCATAGAAGGTTTTTACAAGACATCAGAAATTATGAATACACTGCTTGATGTCTGAGACACTGACTTACAATAGTGTAGAGTTAAGATTTTGGCCTGAAACATATTTTTAAAGACGCATCCATGATGGAGAGACACATTCCCACATTATTAACATTACATATAAAAAACTGGTGGTTTGGGAAATCCAAGTCTGTAGTTTCCCTACAATAAAATACTTCATATCACACCACTCTGAATGACTCTGTTTAATTCTCAACCACTAAATTATGCAGATTTTTTAAAGAATTTAATTATAATGAATTTATTTATGCAGAATTTCCCCTTTCATTCACAGTCAGACCCGCTGTAGAAAAGTGTTCGTAGTGAGGAGCTGCACACCTTTTCAAAAGCCGGAAGAGTGCGGAGTTTGGCTTTGACCTGCAAATTTTCCAGCTGATTCTGTTTTTTCTCTGGTGGTACAAAGGGCAGTGGCAGCATCATGTCCATGATGTCTCGAGCAGCCTCGGCATACATATCAATCCTTGAAAGAAAGGAAAATGGGACATTATTGATCTGCATGGATTCCAGCAGACCTGCTAAAAATTCCCTTATAAATTCATAATTTCATACTCACATAACTCTCTCTTTAAGGTCCTTTCCATAGAGGTTATATTTCCCTGCTATGTAATTCATGATGGCCTTTGACTGTACCAGCTTCATTCCATCCATTTCAACCAGTGGAACCTGGTGAAACAGTAGATCTCCATCTGGAGTTCAGATAAGAAATACTTTTAGGATCATCAACCATATCAGTGGTACTCTATAAAAAAGTATGTTAATAAAGATAATATAGCATATTATAGCATATATAGCACCAAAAAGGGTTCTCCTGTTGTTAAAAGCTTGACATCGTAACAATAGCAGAACTCTTTTTGGTGCTATACAGAACCACGTACAACACATTCTCCATCAATCTGAGGAACAATTCCACCATGCAAAGAACCATTTCAGCATGAAATGATTCTAAATAGAACCATTTCCTTTACTAAAGACCCCTTGAAGAACCACAAGTCTTTTATAGAACCATTGCATGCTTAAATGGTTCTTTGCATAGTGAAATAGTTCTTCCTAGGTTCCATACAGAACCTTTATGAAATGTTTCTACATAGCACCAAAAAAGGGTTCTTCTATTGTTACAAGCTTGACATCATAACAAGAGCAGAACCCTTTTTAGTGCTATAAAGAACAGTATTCCACACATTTTCCATCAATATGAGGAACGGTTCCACCATGCAAAGAACCATTTATGCATGAAATGGTTCTAAATAGAACCCTTTCCTTTACTAAAGAACACTTGAAGAACCATGAGTCCTTTATAGAACCAGTGCATGCTTAAATGGTTCTTTGCATAGTGTAACGGTTCTTCCTAGGTTCGATATAGAACCTTAATGAAATGGTTCTACATAGCACCAAAAAGGGTTCTTCTATTGTTACAAGCTTGACATCATAACAAGAGCAGAACCCTTTTTGGTGCTATAAAGAACAGTATTCCACACATTTTCCATCAATATGAGGAACGGTTCCATCATGCAAAGAACCATTTATGCATGAAATGGTTCTAAATAGAACCCTTTCCGTTACTAAAGAACACTTCAAGAACCTTGAGTCCTTTATAGAACCAGTGCATGCTTAAATGGTTCTTTGCATAGTGTAACGGTTCTTCCTAGGTTCCATATAGAACCTTTATGAAATGGTTCTACATAGCACCAAAAAGGGTTCTCCTATTGTTAAAAGTTTGACATGGTAACAATAGCAGAACCCTTTTTAGTGCTATACAGAACTGTATCCAACACATTCTCCGTCAATCAGAGGAGTGATTCCACCATGCAAAGAACCATTTAACCATGAAATGGTTCTAAATAGAACCCTTTCTTTACTAAACAACCCTTGAAGAACCATCTTTTTGAGTGTAAGAGTGCTACATGTGCCTCTATGGAGATAAACCCAGGAAAGCTCTTCATAAATGACAGTGACCAAAGCAGAACCTACCATTCACCAGTTTTTCATATTCCTCCCTTGTGGTCAGAAACACCTCTTCGAACTGTGAATGCAATAAGAAAACGCATGAATATCTACAGTCTCTGTCTGTGGCTCCCTTTAAAAAGTGCTCAGCCTGTTACAAACCTCAACACCAGCAACAGCCAACAGCCACCTTATGGACTCCATTTTCCCTCGTCCGTCAAAGTAATACAGCACGACCTTTCCTGACATGTTGATTCAGAAATAGATGCTTTATCGATAGAAACAATCTGCGATCACTACACCTGCACGACCACGCAGCCGACGAGTTACACAGACTTCTTGCAGACGCGCGTATTTAACACCGACGCTGCGTTTTAACCAATGAGAAACTTCGCCTCATGAATATTAATGTAGTTGTAGCCAATGGCTGAGCGGTAAACCTCGCATGTGATTTTGTTTTTTTTTGCCAAGATTTGCATAAACAGAGAGCTTGTATAAACCGGTGTTACGGTCAATTCAGTTCCCCCTGTCCCCCCCTCATTGCGCATGTTGAAATCATGACGTCTTCAGTCGCCGCTCCTCTGCGGAGCTTAGATAGGCTTAATTCGTTTGTGTTTGTGCCTTTATTCCGTCCGGTTCCTCGCGGTAAGCGAATTATCATGTTGTTTGTAAAATGGCTTGTAGTTAAACATGTTTTAAAGTGTAAAATGTGTTGTTACAGATGTTTTAATGCTCAAACACTACGTGGGTTATCTTGCTAATGCTAGTTTTGGCTCCGTTTCCAGCTACTCTGAGTAACATAAACTGGATTTAATGCGCCATTTCTGATTTAATAACCGCACGTGCAGACACATTCTGTAGTTCAGACTTTTAGTGATTTTTAAAGTGATTTTAAGGTGTATTTATGTCCCATATCCTCATCAGTCTCGCCAAGTTCTGTAAATAGATTTGAAACATTTGTTGCTGAAATAAATAAACTGCATTACACAGCACAGTAATTAGTCTGTGTTATTATTGTTAGACTACATATCTCAGTGCACCTAGGAGGTTAGTTTCTCTATTGTCATTGAGGCTGAAGTCTTACTGTTATGGTACTGATGTGACTTGTCTTTACAGTAACTTTTATTCATATTATACCACATTTACACTGAGAGTGCAGGGGGAACATCTTTAACCAGAGCCCTGAGAAAAGTGGTTTCCCCTTGTATATTACAGCTGGAGTGGATTTAAACTGCAATAATGCTGCTGAAAATCTATATCAGTACAAGATCATTTTACTCTGTAAGTTTTAGTCAATCTGTACCATCTTTACACTGAGAATACAGGGGGAACATCTTTAACCAGACCACCTTTACACTGAGAATACAGGGGGAACATATTTAACCAGACCACCTTTACAGTGAGAATGCAGGGGAACATCTTTAAGCAGAGACTGAGGATAAATTTAATATACATTGATGTCAGTAACATGTCCCTGACTGCAATGTGTTCTGTAGGCCTCTTTTATTCCACAAGTTCAGACATGCTTCATGCATTGACTGTAAAATACCAGTGAGCTTTTTCTTTATTTTGTGGCACTGGATCTTTTTCAACGACTGTAACAATCACACCACATGCCTAGATGTTAACATAACCTCCTCGTTCCAAATATCCAGTGTACTGGACTTTGTTTTCCAGGTATTGTGGCTCTAAAGAAGCAAGTATGTCACCATACTCACTTTCATGTTTCTACAGAACTTACACGTTCTGTTGGTTGATCATTTAATATCATTTAAATTTTTTTTTCTTTTTTTTATCTTGTTATATGCAAAAACAAATATGGCATCTGGATACAGACACTCACCACCTCCAAAGCCAAATGACTATTTTCTGAATGATTCCATACTTATTTTAGAAATGTTTTTGTATGTTACTCCTTCTAGAAGGTCCCTCTTGTGAACAGCACAAAAGGAAATAGTAGATATTTCTACATACACATATTTTGAGATACAGTTTGGACATAATCTGAACATTTGGAATTAGTGCAGTAAATGATGCTTAGAGTAGTATAATAGACTTGGCAGAGCCAAACCAAAAACTAAACATTTCATGAATCTCAGAAAAGTTATTTCTGAACCACAAAAAAATTATGTCTGTATATGACACTGGGCTAGCATATAGAATGTATGTAAAAAGTGTAATATGTTTAAAATTAAACATAAATCTATGTAATATAGCTTATGTAATGTTTTCTGACTTTTCTGACTTAAGTGACTGTTTCAACCATTTGTTTGTTTTAAGGGTAATAATGTAAATCTCTGTTTATTAACATGATACAAAAATGATGAATTATTGAATATTTTAGTAGTCATTCACAAGTACAGAAGTCCTAGTTGTTCTGTACATACAGTAAACTCAGAAGAAGTTCAGTGTTTGATTTGTGCCTTGTTATGTTGCTAATAAGAAATTTGTTCATTTTCCAAAAACTAATGTTTGATAACAAAAATAGTTTATATTTAAAGGGTTCAGTCTCGGGACTGATTTTAATTTTAGAAAAACTGCATGGCCTTACGAATTGAAAAAGAATAGCAGTCACATTCTCTAGAGTGTTTTTCCTGCAGAGAGAGTGCTTTATCACCACCTACAGGTTAGTTTATTATTATATATATATATATTTTTTACTAAATGTAAAAAAGACACTGAAAGAGCTTGTGTCAAGGCGTCTTTCTGAAAGGTGTAGCCAGTGCTGCCAGGTGTCAGCACGTGCGAAGGAAAAAGATCCCTCTCCAAATGTGAAGAATCTTTCTGAGGTACGTTTTGCTGTTATTTATATTCATCTAATGACTCAAAATATTTTAATACTATGATTTAATTAGGATACGTTTTACTGCAATTACCTTATAGAAACTTTATAAGTTATTTTACTGATTATTGTGTTGCTTTCAAGTCGTATTAGCAATGTTGTATTCACGAGATAAGCGCAGAGGACTGCTACCACAATTTCATTACTAGTGTGAAAAAAGTTGGACATGTAGGCAAAACAGAAAGGATAGCCGCTGGAAATTGCTTTGTAAACTGTAAGGCTAAAATAATCTATACGTGGTAATATTAGTATTTTCATGTTACGTGATGCTTGCTAACTAGGCAACACATTACTCATCTCAAGCATCCTCTGCTCTTTGTTGCAGTAACGCAAAATACCACTTGAACAACTTGAACACAAATTACATCTTTTTTACGACGTCCATAAGTAGGAACTTACAGAAGCACTTGAAGGCAGCATTAATCAGGCCTCTCATACACATGCTACACCCCCCACCCCCTGAATGTCTAGCTAGTTTTAAACAAGCAATAATTCTTATGAGATGGCTTAAATGCAATTAATTAACCTACACTTGACCATATTTTACAGTTGACAGAATGGATTCGACACAGTACAACAGGTTATTTAACTATATAACTAGTGGAAAATATCCAGAGAATATAACAAAACCAGAAAAATATGTCATTCGACGGCGTGCGCATCAATATGTTGTCCAAGGTAAGACATGACCGTATGTATACATATAGTGGCATGCAAAAGTTATCTTACTGTGAAGTTATCTGAGAGCACAAATGTCTTGGGGTGCCCAAACTTCTGCATGGTTTCCTTTCTTTAAAATTGTAAATAATTTTTTTTCTAAATTGTACAAAACAAAAATACAACAATAATCTTGTTTAAATGTTGAAAAGAATGTTTCTGTAACTTTATGCCTCTTGGACATCTGTTTATCTTCTACTTACTTAACTACTCACAGTTACAGAAATTTTGACCAGGGGTGCCCAAACCTTTGCATACCTGTATATTTGAAAATATGGCACATGAATAGTATAAAAGACCTGAGTCATTCCATGAAAAGACTATTTGAGTACACTGCAGATATTAATGCATAGTTCATCATTAACATGTATGAAAAACGTTTAATGTAAGTGAAACAGGGATTTTTATATTCATTTTTAAGAAAACAAATTGGTATTTTATATGTCCATATACACACTAAATGAAGTTCAATATAAAATATTACTAAATAAAACTTGTTTTGTCTGTCATACCAATTTGTTCAGTCACAACAATAAGAAATAATATAAAAATTTCACATCACAATAAGCTCACCTTTTATTATGATTTACAATATGTTACAGTATGTTGTATTATAACAAATACATGTACATGTGGAGTTCTGAAGTACTATTACGCAGTACTATGCAACTGAGGCAACTGAGGAAACATTTTTGTTAAGAACAATATGTAATTGAAACTGTGCAGGACAAGAAAAATTATGTTTTCATTACATTCAAAAATTCTGATCTCATGGAATGACTCAATAATGGTAGAGTTGCAGGTGGCTGTCCAGTTTTCACTGACGCATACTATTAATGTACAATATCTTTCCACAAATTAAGTTTTTTTTCCCCAAAATGCATTATAGACCACTTTCAAACTATATAAAATTCATGACTATACATTGTTAGACCTGGGCTTTGCATATACAAGAAATATAAATGACATATTATGACTAATATCACCTTTATTAGACAAATAGAAAAATCCAATTCAAGTCATCTATTTTTATTTTAGAAACATTATTATAACCAAAACTGTTACATATAGACATAGTGTTTTTGGAATTAAACTGTTCAAATATAAATGGCTAATCCCTGCTAAAAGCCACATACCTGTAAATCTCTTGTCTTGCCCTTGTCTTCATCTGTTTTATCTTCTTGTTTACCTTCTCTCATGTCTTTGGCCATGTGCTTGTGTTTTTATTTTCCTGCTCCACCCTTTTGCCATGCCCCTTACCTGTTTCTGATCTGTTACCCCACTCTGTAATTGTTCCCAGGTGTTCCTTGTTTGTTTCCCCCAGTATGTATAACCCTTGTGTTTGTCCTGCTCCTTGCTTGGTGCTGTTTTTTGTAATTTCTTTAGTATTAGTGTTAATTTTCTTGATTAGCTTCTCCTTTGATACTGTCCTTTTTTTTCTTGCCGCCTTCCCTATGGACAACAATAAAACTCCCAGCTCGCACTTGCATTCTGCTGCCTTCCACCCTGTTGCAATACCACTATCAGCAAAAGTATTTAATGCTTTTCTTTATTTTGATGTAGATGGAGTACTGTTTTATGTTCGTCATAAGGGCACAGAAAAGGAACTGAAAGTAAAGGTGGTCAGGGATGCTGAGGAAGCTGACAGTATTTTTAAAGAATTTCATGCCAGTGATGTAGGTGGGCACTGTGGCAAGGAGAAAACAAAAGATGCCATTTCTATCCGATACTATTGGCCAGGGATGACGATTGACATCAATAAATGGGTGAGTTTTACTGATATGCTCACATTAAATT